TTATTACAGCCATAATTAGAGACTCTACCCATGTAATCCCTAAAGTGTTCCTGCAAGCAGCATTCCTGCAAACTTTGTCTTCTTTGGATTTTGCTGCAGCAGCACTGCTCCGCAGCAGGTGACGGACTTAAATGTCTTCCACACGGGGGGTGGCTTCCACATTGTGAAGAAGGCGGCGGAGGGGCTGTGCTTCGAACACAGAATTTAGGGTTTAGGGCTTTAGCCTTGAAAGCTACATGCTTGGTCTGGGCTTGTCCAATGCCCGGGAATCTCATTGAATCATTCTTAACTATTGGGCAGTCTGTACCATAATGTAAACCCAAGGTGAGGGTTTTAACTGTGATGACAAGAGCACTTTGGGCCATCTTGAGGGGCGCGCCCACCGTGTCCGCTCCTCTACGCACTTTGACAACGAAGCACTTCCTAAACCCATCATTCTCTCTTGCAGCTACTCTTAAGTTTAACAACCAACACAAAGACTTTGAAAGCAACGTTCAAGAAGCCAAAGCATGAGGTCACAGCTGCTTGTTGAACTTTTGAGGCATCAGCCGTTGGCCAAGCAGCCGCAACATACAAATTTGTACTTGAAGCGGCGCACATTTAGTCGTGGAATTGGATTGGGATTTTAGTGCCAGGTTTTTCATTTTTCAGTGAATGCATGCAGAGTATGTGCCCACATAACACAGACAGAGAGAGAGGGGGTGTCAGGAGGCGCCTGTAAGTTGAGAGCATGCCCACCCGAGGAAAACAAACAGGTGAGCAACAACGGAGGGTTGTCTATGCTTCCGGCTTCTTATGTGCTGATACGTAATGGCTGATCTATCTTCACGGGAGGACCCTCATTTCTCATGCAGTGTTGAATTTCGATAGCATTGCTTGCAATGCTCAACCCTGATCTATGCAGCTGTATATGCATGGCTTTGTGGCCTACTTGGCTTGTACAATGATGTCGAAAGCGACCGGCCTCCGGGCGTGGGCAGTTGGGCTTCCCGTCTGATAGTATGCAGAAGATTTCTAAGCATGGCCCTACGTCCTACACCTGTAAACCAGACAAACCTTGGACTCTAGGCCACAAAGCGTGAGCCCTCCATGCCCGCCGCGTTTGTCGGCCTTCAGGCTTTCGAGCGCTGTGTCCGAGCGGAGAACAAGAAGGTAAAGCCAGATGAGAAGGACCGAACTCTTCGGTCCTTTACGGGCTCACGTTCGGGATCGTTTGTACTTCTCGGTCTATGGGCTTCCTCGTGTACTACTTCTTACACGACCCAGGGAAATACGGACGAAGCTTCTCTGGTGATCGTAAGAAGCAGCTGAGGACATGTAGAAGTTATCGTCTTGAGTTCTTCCAACATGGCCAGAAGTCAGAGAAGGTGGACCTGCACTTTGTTTTGAACATGCTTTGCGAGGTCCCTGCTTTCCACTTACAACGAGGGCGTATGATGACATCAGCCTGGACAACAGATCCAGATTCTAATCCGTTTTATAGTTCAGCGCGGCTTGCGGAACCACACTTTATATGTATATACATATGTGTATATATATAATATGTTTTGAACCGGTTGGGTGGGGCTGGCCAGCTCATGTATGTCGAACCTTCTCATCCCCGAGCAAACACAAGATGCTCTTTGCGCAAGTCCTTTGTCTCCCAAGTGCTTGAAGCTTTTCGACAGCAACCATACCACCAGGCTTTACAAGCTGTCAGAACAGAAGTACCGAAGGAGTCCTGACCAAATGGGCCTGAATAGTTTACACTGATGATACTGGTGGTAACCTCGCTCAGGGCTCTTATGGACACGCTATGCCTGGACCAGTAGTTTTCTGGAATAAGGCATGTAAGGCGGTGCAAGATGTCCTCTATCCACATAATAGTACCCACAAGCATCAGGGCCTTGAAGTGACCAAGGAATCAATTGAGAGCTACTGCCGCGACGGCATTCGAATACAGCAAGCAACCATTACCTCAACTGAAAGCTTCACACGGTTTCGGACCCCAGAGAATTCACCATGCCAATGGTAGACGAATTCTGTTGGAGGGGTCTGCTTCTTGGCAAACCTGAAAGTCTAGACCAACGAGCCTGAGCTCCAAACTCCTACACTTTTGAATCCCAGTTCCTGTGTGATTCTTCAGTAATGCGGGTACGTGCACACTTAAAACTAAGTGATTACCGGATTACCGGAGGTGCTGCGAAATTGAATTTCGAAGGGCCACATGCTTGAAGAAGCATCCTAGCATTCTCACAATATCTCGCAATGAACCAATCAGAACCCCCCAATTCCATTAGCACATTTTCGCAAAGGAGAGGATGCTGGTGGAAAAGTTGCTTCCCTCAGCCGCAGTCTTGGCAGTGGGGCCAGTTCGGACTGTAGTAGAGTGTGATGATGGTCCGATGTTTCGAGAATGTTGGCCTTAATGCGACACGCGTAGTGTAGTGCTAATCGTACAGTTTCTGGATCTCATGGACATGTGCCAGCTTTGTGATTCCTTTTTTCAGAGGCGTGGGGTAGGTAGCCGGAGAATCTTTTCATTGGTTGACGAGTTCGAACCTAGTCGCCTGCCCAGGCAGGATTTTAAGCATTACCAGAGGCACATGGAGATTTCGGGTTCTCTGTGATTAATATCGTAGCTCCCCAAAACAAGGGGATCCCAGTATAGACCCTAAAATGCTATAGCCCTTAATATAGGGAACCCCAATAAGGTACCCCTAATCTTGGGAAACCCCCATATCACAAGGTGGTATGCTTGAGTGTTGCCTTAAACCCCCCACCTCCCCTAACATTAAATACTCCCCGTTGTGGTATACATCACCGGCGGATAGTTTTGTCGCATCTGCATGTTGCTACATGGCGGAGGACGCGGAGTACTCAGAGGCTCGTTTCACTGGCCTGGCTAGCGGAGGAATTATCATGCTGGAATAAACTTAAA